AAGGGAACCTGGAGTTTGGTACAGCTGTAGCGCGACGTAGCACTACAAGTCTGAACGCTGCCTTAGGAACCTCCAGACCACCGTTCTCTTACAGCCAGTTTACGGAATAATTAGTTTGTTTAAGCAAAAAAAAACGCAAACGACAGACAAATAGAACACAGTAGAGAGATAAAAAATGTATTTAATAACCTTGGAGCGAAGGGGGGGGGGCATTCAGAGAACCCCTCGCGCAGTAACTCTGCCTAAGCGCAAAGGGCGAAGGAGCTCATGTCAAAGGTGAGTGAACCTTTTTTTCACAGATGACGTGAATCCCATTTTGAAACAAGGAGCCCTTGAAACAAGGAGCCCCCTCTCGGAGTTGATAGCATCATGTAGTGCAGTTTGAAAGCAGTTCTCACTTGAATTGAGGTAATCTGTTTGATTTCGAGTCTTGGCAAGTGCGACCACACCTCCCTCTGTTCTGCAACGACTAGCCGCTAGCGTGTAAGTGGCTTCGGCTTGCTTGACCGAATAGCAGCCTGAAATAGAAAACATCAAACAGTTTTGAGGCAGCGAGAACACTGGACTGGCTACTCACTAAGCTGCGAGCATAAGGGAGTAGTTTTCTAGTGAAGTTTTCAGGTTATGGAGCGTTCTACAAGGGGAAGTGCTTAAAGGCAGTGGGCGTGATGGTTAGGAGCGGGCGATTTGAGTTGTGCCAACTTTTTGGTGGAAGAGCGGAGTGGGAGTGTGACCGAATGCCCTCTCACAGCTATTTCACCAATGACACTGGAGACGGGCAAGAGAATCGTAATTTGCCGCTCCGCCGCGCGCGGCGATGGGCGCGGCGTTTTCTTAACTCGTGTTAACCTGTCGATTGGAGCACCGGACTTCATGTAGACCCCGTCATCGTAGACATTCATGACTATTTTTCGTTCTGAATTGCCTGTTGTCGCCATCTACTACCTGGAACCATCGTCATTTGCGGGCGCGACGTCGCACGCGACGCCCACCAGCGCGGCAAATTACGATTCTCTTGTCACATACCGACTGTATCAGAAACTGTCCACCTTCAACAAGCGTGCCCACTTCTTTTAAATACCTGCAGAAGGTGTGTTCCTTGGAGCATCCGACTGGAACGAATCATATCCCTGGACGGCAGAAGCAGTTTCGCTGGAATGAACACCTCTCAGAAGTGAGCATCAAAAAAAGGTGAAAAATCACCGCTGCACAGCGCTTGGCTGATTCCGTCCCCTTCTAGGTCAGTCAAAGTGGAAAGGAAGTATCCTGGTGAGGCGATGGTCTCCAAATTGGATTCAGGAAAACCGTGCTCTTCTACGTAATCTGAACGATAATGGATTGTCTGGGTCAACAGAAGCGAGAGAATAATAAAGTGCGCCACACTTACTGTAGACTACCAGCACTCCGTTGTCCTCCTTGAACTGGTCTGCCACTTGTTTCGGGTTGAACACTCCACCGGCACTAAACCAGCCAGAAATCGAGCACTGAACTTTTTCTTGAGGAAATACTATCACAAAAATGAGGACCTATAGGAGGTGGCTGAGAGCACAATGACATTTCTAGAATTGGATCGATCCATTTCTGTCTGGAATTGAAGTGCAGCCATTCGAAGGGCACTGAAAGTCTGTGAATCACACGAGAAGATGCTTATGAGAGGACATCTAGACTCACTCTTCTAAATTCGCTATTTCACCTCCGTAATACGGTAGGGTTTTGATGTCGAGAAATTGATCCCGTGTCAATGATCCCAAAGGAGCATAAAGGTGTGCTGTCAATCCGTAGACCACCACTCCGATTCGCGTGCTCAGCTGAATCAAACGGGATTAGGGAGAATGGACATCGCTTCTTTCAATTACCTTTCGAAGTAACAACAGAGTAGGGACAAGCTTAGACTACCTTGGGGGATTTCGATTTGGGACTCATGTTATGCAAGTGGGTTGCTGTCGAAGCAAAAGCATC